TTGTATGCACGATGAAACGACGTATAGTTTCGTTAGAATTTTCAACAAGAATATTCTTCAAGAATTTGCAATAACATTTTCAACATAATCGTACGTGAAATTCAAACGCAACGGAACAATCGATGATTCTTTTAATGCGCTGTTTGTATGCACGATGAAACCACGTATAGTTTTCTGGTATTTTTCATTCGTTAGGATTTTCAACATAATCGCACGTGAAATTCAAACGAAATGGAACAATCGCTGATTCTTTTCAAGCGCTGTTTGTATGCACATTGTATGCACGATGAAACGACGTATAGTTTCGTTAGAATTTTCAACAAGAATATTCTTCAAGAATTTGCAATAACATTTTCAACATAATCGTACGTGAAATTCAAACGCAACGGAACAATCGATGATTCGATTAAAACGCTGTTTGTATGCACATTCCTATCAGTATATTGAACGCTCTCTCATCAGAGATGTGTAGTCCTCGACTCGAGTCCTCTTCGGCCCCTCTGAATCACCCTCTCTTACATTTTACAACGATAATTGATGTATTATTATATCGTATTCATCGTTTTACCTCGATACCAATCGTTGCGCATCGTTCTACGATAATTTCCAACCGATACGTATCTCGTCGTTGAAATGCAAATTTCGTTCGTGCAAAATTCAATCCTATCGCCACTTGGACGAATAAAAGAAACAAACGAAACTAGCGAGTTCTAGTTGATTCTTAAAATAACGTCTCTCGTGGAGGCTCACTGAAAATACGCGTTGAAATAATTTTCATAAAGATCGGACAAAGTCAACTAAATATCCTCTTGGATTTTGTCGATACCACCTAATGATAAAATCCGCAATCGTTTACTTGTCAACCAATAAACGCCAAAATAAGATGGTCGCATCAGCATCAGAGTTGGCACTGTAGAAGCCTCGATTTGACTTTTTAAATTCACAAAATTCGTTCAAAAAAAAAAAAAAAGAAAAGAGAGAGAAATCCTACACAGAGGCTTTGTATCTCGTTTCTTGTCCTTTGTATCTCGTTTCTTCGATCGTCCAGCGATACTCCGCGACGTTACAACGCCGAAAGTTTCTTGATTATTTCGCGGTAGCAAGTTAGCGCGTCGACAAGTCCCGTTGCACTTTTCTGGAAAACGTTGGCAGCCAGCAAAAAGTGGATACCGGAGGACGTAGAGTTAGCGTCGTCTCTTATTGGCAAACTTGATCGTGAGCCTGTCACCGGTGTCGACAAGGGTCGACTGATGTCCCGTTAATTTACAATTTGCTAACGTCGATATTGACCATCTGCTACCGATTCACTACGGTCACCCTATTCTGCAACGCCGGTGTTACCCGTATAGGTGTCGTTTTGCTTCGATAACGATGACGAGAGATGAAAGATAGCCGGATAGCAAATTCCTCCGTTTACCTTTCTTTCGTTCGCATCTCGCGATATCGAATTAACGCTGTTTTGTCAGCATTCCGCGGTAATTGATCAATAGATCGATTTAAGAGATACACGCAAACGATAGATAGGTTTTGTATACTCGAGTAATTGCGTCAATCGATCAATTTAAGAGATACATTAATAGATACGGTTTTTAATAGAGATGGGCTAATTCGTAGTAGCACTGATTGACAGTGCATAATGGTGAAATTAGTACGATAGGATTTGAAGAGCGAGGATGAAGAACGTGTTAAATCATATTGGCTTGGCAACTAAGTGATCGCGGCTTTTGTCGATACCACTTAATGGCAAAATCCGCGATCATTTAGTTGCCAAGCGAATATTTCCTATGTTTCGTTTTTAGCTATTTTAAAATGTGAATATGCTATCGAGCGATTATTTTATTACGTCGATCGAACGACTCAAGAGCGTAGTAGCTTTATTCGTATTCTTGCGTATTGCCGCTTTTATTCGATTTATTTTCTACACCTTTCGATTAAGTGCATCAACATTTTATTTATTGCGGTTGATATAAATGGAAGAAATGCGAGATGGAAAATATAGACGGATCTCGAATAAAACGAACGTTCTATATATATATGTATATATATATATATATACTTTCAGTTATTTTCTGTTTTCTTTTGTTTGTTTATTTGTTTGTTTGTTTTTTTTTTTTTTTAGTCTTTCTTTTTCTCCGAGTGCAACATTCGTTGAAGCGGCTAAGTCGTTTAAAGATGTTGGCATAGGCAAGGCTATAAAATGAAAAAGGTGTACGGTGTAAGAAGACTGTTTCTATATTGCTTGTTCCAGGGTTTCCTTGGACTTATGCGAACGAATGGTAACTCGGTCGACCAAATGTTTCTAAACGTTTCCCTGTTGTATCGCTTTATTAGACCTTTACCGCTATCATCAGCAGCCTGATGGCAGATGGATCTGGCTTTTGTAAATGAAATCCTCGCCTCTTCGCTTCACTCCAGCAAGTTAAAAGAGAACAGGTTTTCTTAGCGATGGGATCAACATTCTCTCGAATATTATCCCAAAGAATTTCCTCTTTTTCTTCCTATTATTATTCGTTAATTGTACATTTTTTCACGCGCAACGTTAATTCTACCTACGTGAATGTAACACTAGAACTACCACAGTCAAATCGACTGGTTTTACAATTTTATTCTAAAATTCCTACTTCGTGTTATATTTTTTCCCACAATGATGTAACGACTTTCGCAACGATAACTAACAGAATAACTATAATTTATATTCAGACTGAAAATAATTTTGTATCGAGGCTACTTGTATCAATACTTGTCAAGGTGTAAAAGGGTCCTGCAATCTGTTCATCGAAGCCCAATTAACCAGTTTTCTCGTTTTCTACAACTTGCCACTCGATATGATGATATCGGTTATCGGGAAAATTGCGGATCGACCGCTAGATCGCTAGATGCTAACGCTGGAAACACCACAGCAGTGAAAATGAGACTGGTTCTACAATTTTAGAAATTTGTCAACTCTCGTTTAAGGATCGTAGTCGCAGATGGATCGATAATACCAAAAATGTAATACATAATAAATCAATAAATATACAAATATTCTATTATTAGGTATTTTCGCTGATTTTGGTAGAAATAGCTTCGTGTTAACTATCGGTAGTTCTAGTGTTAACAACAAGCAAAAGTGATTTCAGACATTTTCATAATCGTCAGATTTGTTTAGATTTTCCGGATGGAAAAACACTGGAAGCAGACAGAATGTAATTGAATTGATAGCTTTAATTTGAATTGACGTTTTAGATTATAATAATAATTTAAACGATAATAAATAGTACGCGAGATCGGACGATGTATAACGTATATTGCTTGTCCGAAAAGTTTCTTTTCTGAACAATTTCTGTTTTATATTTTATTCAATTACATATCATCCGTTTCGTTCTATCTCTATTATTACGTTCGTGCATAATTCGATAAACTGATATAAAAGAAAAAAACATTGTGCGTCTGTTATTTCCTTATAAAACGAGAGAAACTTTCCGGACAAGCTAACGTATAAGAATAAATAACAATGACAATAGCGTATCTTGGAAAATATTTTATAAAAATAAACACAAAGAGAAACATTGGTATCTCTTGAACCGAGTAAAAATATTTTCAAACGATTTTGTAAAAACTCTCTAAAATTCGTAGCGATTTGTTCGGAACGCGTTGATTGGGATCGATCGGTCCCATCGCTGATGTTAGAGAAGTATCGTCTGGATACTTAGTTGTGGCGAGGAACGTCTCTTTTAAGTGTCACTAAATCGAGTTACCGGTAGAAACGTTGCCTCGGCAAGGTAATAAAGTTTCGAGGAATTGAAAAGTTCGTAGAGGAAGAGAGATGTTGATGGAGATCGAGATCGACATCGAGATCGGTGTTTGGCTTATTGTACGTTGACTGAGATCAGCGTGCAGCTCTTTGAGCGCTCGTCGAGCCACAGGGACGCGTCTTCCTTTACCAAAGTCGTCTCGGAAGATTCCTTCGGTTTTCTGCCTTTATCACTTTTATTGGACTCCGTTTGCTATGCCCATTGAGGCCCAGTTTATGGTGCCGGTGCCATTCGGTAGACAGGAAATGCCTGCTCTTCGTAACCGTAGGAACTCTTTCACGCGTGCACACTCGATTGCCACCATAAATTGCCCGACACGATGAATACCACGTCATATCGTGAAACGTAAAAAAAAAAGAAGAAAGAAAGAAATAGAAAGAAATGGAATGGAATGGGAATTTGAAAAGACTGGCGTGGATTTTATTAACGAAGCGAATGATTCAGCCTTTCGGAAAATTATTACTCAGCTACGGAATCGATTTTCAATTCTTTGGAAACAAATCGGTTGATTCGTAAAGTTCGTTCGATAAGTACGTTATACGTATTCCCTCTGTCTTAGAAAGCTGAGCCATATGATTTTGAAAAAATTAACTACGAATTCGATTTATTTCTTTTTACCATTCTTGTTCGTATATTTTTGAACGTTTTAATCGCTCGATATATCATTTCGGCTGGGCTTGCATCGCGCAAAGTTTTCCATCGAACTGTTCGAGCTTAATAGAGACATTACCGAGAAGATAAAGAGCGATTAGGCGAGGCTGCGCGCTTAGGTCAGGCCACCGACTATAAATCCACGATCACTGACGTTTATATTCGTCAAAGGGAACAATACGAGGCGTATATAACTTGGCTGCGAACTTGCCACCTCTGGCTCTGGAGAACTTGCACGAAATCCACTCACCTTCGTGTGGCCAGATTCTTCTATCGCGACAGAGCCTGCCTGTAGACACCTAGTCGTTTACTGTAAATCATCGTTATTGCTTCCAGCCGATTGCCTTTAACATGATTTACCGCTGGCTCCTTTCTTTTCGTGAAATTGGGTCGATATAATTGACACGTTTACCGCTACTCACGCATATGCTGCGTTAATGCGATTACTTCGGTAACGATATCTGCGCAATTGACAGAAACGACTTCTGTCGATTATCTAGTTGCGTAGCTGGCAATTAGACGAATTCAGGTACTTGGACTCGTCAGCTTTTGAAGCTCTTATCCTATTATTATCTTGAAAACTAGATGTTTGATGTAATTTTGTTATTCTCGATTCTCGTCTTATTTTAAGCCATAGAATCTCCCTGGTCCAATTTTTATCAGAAATTACGAACCATCCTGTGTTTCCTTTGCCAATATTTACATCGATGTATTGCACTGGATCGATGTTTTGTCATCAGGCGATATCGACAAAATCCGCGATCGCTTAGTTGCCAAGCCGATATCAAGCCGACAATGAGATCTCCTCGATTATTGTTAGTTCGATCGCTGTCAGACGTAAACGAACGTTGGATACGCGACGAATGAATTAGCGGAGGATAAACACAACCTACACAGTCGTATCGTTGATTAATAAGAAAAAGAAAAAAGCAGAGATCGTAACGTGGATGTAATAAATATGGCCGGAGGAAACGAATGGTATTTTTGAAAAAGCGATCCTTCTTGTATTTTCTGCGTAATCTGTTGACATATTAAAGGCAACAAGATATGAAATGTATGCATCAGCACGCTTCAGCTCTCATTTATCATTCGTACGTCTACGAAACAATGTCGCCGGAATAACTGATGGAACGCTTTTTTCCTTCTACAATGCAAGACGATTAATTCCTTTAACGCGAAATGCTAATTCCTTTGTGCAATTATAAAGTAACTGACACGCTGGTTTTCACCAGACATTATAAAGCTTTCGCTTCTGAAAACGCTCGGTCCTTCGACTCGCTCAGTTTTGTTAAGACTGGTATCTTAGCTGCAAGGTTCCTTCTTCGTGCTGCTAATTTTGCATAATAATACGTATAGCAGTTCAATAGTCGCATACTTCGCAAAATTCAATGCCCGTGTTAATTTCCAATTATTTTTCATTTATCGCGTACACCAGAGAACAGGAACGAACGAGCAGCAAGCGACGATACACGGAAGCGTAACAGTAAGGAAACATCGGATACCCGTACTTGCCGAGACATCTGAGATATTTTCGAAAAATATCGATCGTCCAACGTTTCAACTTATTCTCCGTTTTCCTTCAATTTACTTTTTCACATCGATGGTTTCATTTATCCAGTAAACGATCGGCGCAGGCGTTTATTCTTATTATTTCAAATTATGTTAAATAATTATTATACGAACAGCAATGTGGTAAATCTTTAAATCGAATCTTATTGTTGCGGTATTCTGCTTTCGAGGGGCAGGCAATTAAATTAAATAAACAAAGAGACTACGTTGACTTCCATTAACACTTTGACTGCCACGTTGGTCATTGGTGACCAGAGCGCTTGAACTTCTTACAATAGTAAAAATTGAATGAAAATTGACTGTTAGGGTATTTTGAGTATAACCGATAGATAGAAGATGCTTTGGAATAAAAACTGTCCCATTGTGCGATTAAACATTTTTATTGGAACATCGATAAAAAAAAATGAGAACAAATCTTGCAGCTAACGGTGCACTGTATTTGCATCCGTATCTTTGACGGCTAATCTACGAATATTATTACAAACACAGCTTAGAAAATAATCGTAAATGCTGCTTTGTAATCGTATAATTGAAGTTAGAAGCGTGCACATACCTTGCTATTATATATAGAACGAAGAAATACGTTTACCAATATCTTCTATGCGTTTTAACGATATATTCCGCGCGTTTTGCATACGACGAAATAACGAATGCGAATGGTTTGTTGAAATAAACGAAGTATCGTGAAGCGTGCACATACCTTGCTATTATATATAGAACGAAGAAATACGTTTACCAATATCTTCTATGCGTTTTAACGATATATTCCGCGCGTTTTGCATACGACGAAATAACAAATGCGAATGGTTTGTTGAAATAAACCTCGTTATAATACGTTGCTATCGACTGTTATCAAGGCGCCACGGTGTTCACAAGTGACCACCGATAAGGTAAACGGTCGATCGGGGAAGAATGTCGTCTTACATCGTCGATTTATTATTATTTTGCCATTGTATGCTTCGAATAATAAAAATACTCTCGTGGCGTGTTCAGCGAAACGCGTGATTTCCGCGTGGCAGTCAAAGTGTCAACGTTTACGATTTTACTCTCAAAGTCTACAGTGGCAACTTGACTGAAAGGAATTTAAATTTACCCGGACGATCTAAGAAAAATAATTTAATCAATCGTAACTTGTCTCGTAACAAAATAATTCTCTCGCGGAGATTCGACAAAGAACAGGGAGAAAGTGTGACATTTTGTAAAATTTGCTCGAGTGTCACGCTGAATGGTACGTAATTGGACGAAATACTATAAAAGAAAGAAACATCGTGGATCGATTGGATTGTATAGTAAAAAGGAAGATATAAGAAGGGAGAAAGATAGAAAAGCTGGTAGAAGGAAACGTTAATTTTGCTATTAACAGTCACCTCTCGAACGCTGGTAAATCTGGCGAACCCCAGCCACAGCCGATAAGTGATTTTTCTAAGGTCGTTCTTATAATCCTGCTCCCTAAGGGTAGATTGTAAATGGTTTCATAGTGGAAGGATATTAATATAGGATGATGAGTGTCCAGGATGATCGAGCCAAAAGCACGATCGTTCCTTTTCCCGAACAAGGGGAGTTTTACCTCTTTTCTTTTTCTTTTATTAAATACCAACGTAAATGCTCTGATCTGCAATATACGCGCAATTATAAATATCGATATTTGTCTTATACAGATTTTTATTTTTGCCTGTACGTTTTGTTTCCGCTTAAAAAGGGAGAATCGATGTTTTTAAATAATAACAAACGTACGATCAAAGTATCCTTCTCTTATTATTAAAAAAAAGGAAAAAAAAGAGAGAGAGAAGATGACAGAACGTTATTTGTTATACAGTCGCTGAATTCCACGAAACTTTGAATTTTAATGCGACTTAACCAGGCGACCCTTTAACGATGCGAATATATTTTCTACACTTTCAAATGGAAGAATCTCGTATGACAAATAAATTCGTATAATATGAAAATA